TAGAAAACGTTTCGGTCTGGGACCTTCGATCACTTTTTTTTTAGAAGTGATCAAGGTCCCAGGACCGAACGTTTTCTTAATAACTCTATGTCACTTTAGTGTTTGCTTACGTGTTTTTTTTTCTTTCTAAACCAGTAATTTTTAATATACAGTCCACAAAAGTTATATATTACCTGAATTCCTGGTGATGTATATTTCATTATAATTTAAATAGGTCTAGAGCAACTTGTGGATATGACAGTGGTAGGTATCGAAGGGGGACATTTTTTGTGACCTAGGTGTCCCAAATTCTTACTTCTCTATGTTACTCTGATAATATAATAATTATCTTTGTTTATTTATGGTATGTACATTATGCAGTTACCATACAGATAATGTAAATTTTCCACACTATCTCCTCTCTCTCTTCTTCTCTTCTCATCTCTCTCTCTCTTTTCTCTTCTCTCCTGCTTTTTACACAGGGATTTGACAAGGTAAAGGATCCCTAGCCTTAGTGACAAGCTATTTACGGTAAGTGATTCCTAAACTTTATTGGCAAGCCTAAGAGTGTTACCTACTTTCAGCTCATTTGAAAGCATTTTTATTGTTAATAGACATAACAGTAGGGAACAGGATGAAGGTTGGAGCCATCTGTGGGCCAGCATTTTCATTTGATCAACTGACTTTATCTCGTTGCATCATTATGCTGTACGAATGTGTTCCCATTACTCGAGTCTCATCCTGGGTATGTATGATCTCAGATGGAAGTGATGTTCTGGAGAAGGGTACATCCAGAGTGGAAGTTGATGGCCTTTCTGCCCGTCTTGTGGCATAAATATGATTGTTTTACGCTCTGTCCTCGAAGTGATCAAGTGGGCATTTTGACAATATTTGGCCTCTGTACATAAAAGTAGGCAACCCACCATCCCTCCTATGTTGAAGGCTCTGCTGAAATGACAGATCTAACGGATGGGTCGGGAGAGAGATGAGACGTTCTTACTCTGTTCTCTACTCTGTCTAAGCAGTTGCAGATGAGAGGGTGGGGCAGGGCAAACCAAGAAAAGTGGAGCATACTCAGGTGCTTGTTGAGCGTACTTGTGCTGGCCTCGTACAGGATCTTGCAACCCCTACTGTCAAGCAGGCGATGATACCAGTGAAGGTGCTTAAGACTTCCCTTGGCTGCTTTATTTGCAAGATTTAAAATGGTTATTCATGGTGTAATTTTGGAGAGTTTAAATTTTCATCCCAAAAGGATATCAACTTCTTCTCCACTGGTGCCACACCCTCCCATTCATTCCTACTACTGGCACCAGGCATACGATCATGGTGCCTAGGAAGATCTATCATTTGCGTTTTTCAGGGCAAATGTACTTGCCATTATTATCCCCAAGGCTCCATATAGCTCTCGCTGGTTGATTGATGTAACTTAGAGCAGGCTGGCATTTCTTCTCTGTGGATAAAGGTGAAATGTCAGTGTACAGTCGTTCTGCATATGCATGTGATCTGGGATGAGTGATGAAAGAAGGTCGTTTTGAAGTAGACCTCGTCCAAAACAATGTGACCCAGCAGCTGCTTCCTTGTGGAAAACACCTTGCCCCAATAGGGATGTCTTGCTGATTCCGTTCCATTGAGAAACTACACTTAAAGATCTAGCATGAACGGTAATCACTGAGGAGACATAGCGTATAGGAGCTGCAATTCCCAGCCTGCTTGAAGTTTTGCCTAAGAGGCCTGGTTTGCCACACCACGGTTCGCGAAAGCCCAGCAATGTCCAGTGCTAACACTCAGCTGACTTTGGTTTCATCAGTGACGGTGTGCCACTTATGGAGAGGTTTAACAACTAGTTCAGCAGCAGCAGTAAACTTTCTGAAGCCATATTGACGATATGGCTGTTCGTCTCTGTCTCTCTCTCTCTGCTTTAATAGATCAAGAAAGATTTCGTTGGAATTTTTAACCCCGGAGGGTTAGCCACCCAGATAACCCAAGAAAAGTCAGTGCGTCATCGAGGACTGTCTAAACTTATTTCCATTGGCGGTCCTTAATCTTGTCCCCCTGGATTGCGACACACACCAGTTCGACTAAACACCCAGTACCTATTGCTGCTAGGTGAACTAGGACAACAAGGTGTAAGGAAACGTGTGGTGAGATACGGGTTGTGAGTGCCGTGATGACCAGATCTGCCCGCCGAAACGATCCACCCGGGCCTCCGCTGTGTGAAAGCGGGAGCTTTTGCCACCAAGGCCTCCGGGCCACCCGTTTTCCCTCTTGTTACATTACTATTTTTAATAATAATAATCTTGCTTATAATAATAATATTAATAATAATAATAAAATAATATATAATGAATAAAAGGAAATAAAAAATAATCATCATCATCTTTAAGATTAAATGATTATACAATAATTCTGCGTTAACTTTGAACATGCCTATAAATGTTTCAATATTTCTGGTGCTTTTTGAAAAATAAATAAATAAATAGGCAACCTCTACAATGTGAGAGATTATTTTCCATAAACGTGTGCCTTTTTTTCATTACGCCATAACTGCATCATTTTCTGTGTATTCACAGGCACGTTAATAATTCCGTCAGCACTGGATTGTAGCAAATATGATAATCTGCCTGAAAACACCCGCCCCTCCTCTGGGAAGTGAAGTCGACTGGTACTCCGTATTGTCAAACTTCGAGAACGGGAAGTGTTCTGAGACCCTACTGGTTGCTCACGAAAACTTGTGACCCTGTGACGTGTACTGCGTGGGCTGATGGCAGGATTCCTAATCCACAAACTGTCATGGTATTGTACTGCAAACCCTCCTGATGTTGGCTTTATTTCTTTGCCCCGAAAAACGAAGTCCTTTATAACGACACAATCTCTCTCTGTGAGACACCACAGAAACCTGTGACAACCTCTTGTACAGACCACACTGGGCTTATGATGATTTCTTGGGACTCGTTTTGGAATAAGTTTGAGTTTGTTTGAATTGTGAATAATCTAATCAGAGTTTATAGGTTTTACAAAAAAAAATATTTTCTTTAAAAACCTCATATGGAGTAATTTTCTCACATGAAAACATGCCATTCCTTTATCCTGATGTCATTGAGATTAGAGAGAAAGTAGAATGTATGTGATTAAACGGAGGTGGACTCACTGGCACCGCAACAAAGTCTGAGCAAAGTCCTGTGGTTAACACTTGGCGCTATTGGTCGAAATGGTGCTCCATTGTTCAAGGACGTGATATAATCTGTTCTAAACATCCTATCAGTGATCAATGGAGGAATACGCTAGAAATACTGTTTCTCGAACCTGTTATCAGAACTACGAGGGGAAAAAACGATGCTGCATAATCTATACGCACTATTAAGAAGTAAGGGGGGCCATCGGGGAAATATTGTAGCTCTTTTGTTTTACCGTCGATTTCCTCCAGTTTTGAGTGCACAAGACAAAGTGTTTTCACACAGTGTAAAAATTTGTGTCAAAAAATACTTCAAACAACAACTGAGAAAACGGACTGGAAAAAGGACTGATTTACTGAAAATGCCCTTTGGGGGCGAATTTATTCCTATTATGGGACGACGTTAAGGTTGTTTGGACATTGGTGCCGATAGAACAATGCTTATACTGAATTTTTCTAAAGCTACCTGTCCTCTAAAAATAACTTATCTTTATTTCACAAAAAATAAATGTTGTTAGTTCTTGGAATGTTTGCAAGAAATCTGCCCTTTACTCCCACATAACTCCCAAAGTATTTGGAATATTTCCAAAAAATTGAGCGAAGGAAACTAGAGAAAGAAATCATTAATTTCTACAATTTCTGAGAATATTTTCCCCATTTAATTAATAATAAGGTAGGAATTATTGATATTAGGTGGAATAAGTTACTTCCGAGATATTGGCCTGGGACGCCGGCCGGTCCCGCCCGTTTCTCGATTTTTTTTGTTTTGTTTATTCGCGAAAATCGCGTTTGTTTGGGTGTATTTCTTAAGTAAACTGAAGTTTCTAGTGCAATATCCTCTTTGCAATAATACCGTTTTTCTTACTCAGAGTCCAAAGAATACGACATGGAGACGACATGAGAGGATTCCACTAATTTATATTGGAAATATTCCCGATGGTCTCTCGCAATATTATGGCCTTATTTTATTCAGTCTAGAGTAATATAACATGTTTGTATGTTTTTATAGTGTTTATTATATTCATATTAAGATCATTCTGATAGATAAATAAGCCGTAGAGCTGATGTTCTCTGGCACTACTGGAGCGGGAGCACTGCCGAAAGAGTTCCCATATGGTTCCAGGTTCTGGGCTCTAAGTTCTACGGATAAGCTCCGCCTACTGTTTGAATGATGCCAATTAGTCAGTTTTTTATAATTAGAAAGGGACTAATGCAAGAAAAAGACATAATAAACAAGGAAAAAATTCCAAAAAATATACGGGCTGTGAGCAGACTCGCTACCCACATCACCGTCACCATACCTGATATAAATTACTATAGTTTCTTGTAGAAACATCGTAGAACATTGATTCTGGTACCATTGGTTGTTGCCAAAGAATTAAGCTATTTTTCGGTATAAATAACTCAATTTCCATAATTTTTCGATTTTTTTTGAGAGCATGCGGAAAATTGCCTGACTACCTCCTTAGGCCCTGTATATTAGCAAATATGAACGAGGTTGTATTCTGTGTTTTTTGGGGGGATAGAATATTTGTTATTGGTGTTGAGGATTTTGGCCTGACATGCCTGTCGTTTAATTTTAAACTATATTTAATGAAACACTTAGCTGATAAATGCATGCAAATCGTCTACACAGCCGCTCTGCGCGAGGTCTATGAAGCTGGCGAAACCCATCACAACGCATTGGGCTGTCAAGAGATACAATTTGTAAGTATAAATTACCCCTAGGGGGTGTTATGTCAGCATATTGCATTCGATGTGGCTGACGAAAAATACCTACATTGTTTGGACTCAAAAGTCCACACCTTACTGCCGATTATAGGTTGATTACAACTCCTTGTGATCTCAGAATTGCGCATCCCCCGATCTACAGAAATTCGTAACATTCCTTGCTCCATTTGTAACGTGGAAGCCCTCACGGCGCCTGACCACGTTCTCAACACCTTCGACAGGTATCGGTTTGACTTGATAGAAGCTGAAGTGTCCTTGGATGTCCCCGTCTTCCAAGGTCTAGGCAAACGCAAACTGGTACCTATGTTCACAAGATTTGTCTTTATTGTTCACAATGTAACAAAAAGAGAGTGATCACACTTCTCTTATGTTTATTGTGTTGAGACACTTTGTTCACACTAACGCACAGTCGCCACGATAGTTCTGTGCACTGGTTATCCTTGGCGTCGCAGTGTCACTCTCTCTAGAGTCAAGAAGTTAATCTGAAAGACGCGCCACAGTGCATCCATGCCGTCATGCCACCCAGCACAAAAAAAAAACACTGACCTAGTACCTTGCATCCTTGTCACCTCCTCGATGAAGCAAAGCGAATGTTTGTTTTCTTGCTGTCTTCCCAGGCATAGACAACAATGTAAACTATCTTTCTATGGTAATAAAGTGGGAGCAGGATTTTCCTTAATTGTCCTGCTAAGTAAGAGATGTACTGTCTCTTATAAAAATTACACTTTGCAAACCGCTGCAAGGAGGCAGAGGTCTACTTGACTTCGTTGCATAGCATCTGTGATCAATTATCACTCTAGCAGTTAAACATGTTGCTCGCCCCTTCTGAGAGGGCTTGGCCCCTCAGAGAGGCTCTGAAAGGGCCTCTTGAAGGGGCTGAAAGGGCTGAAGGGGGCTGATATCCTCCCTACTGGAAAAAAATTTCTCAACAATTGCATCAGTAGTTGTATTTCTGGAGGGCATGGGTGGCCACTGGCTGCGCCTCCAACCAAACAAGGCACCAAGGTGATGGCTATTTTTGATTATTCCGTTACATTTTCTTTTTTTCATATTCCTGCCACTAAGATAAAAAATCACTGGAGTTGGGTTTGTCGTAGCTACTACTTGTTTGTTCTTGTGGGGTGCTGTGCCTCCTGGTCTTTTAGATTGTATGCAGGGCAGTCTCGATTTGAAACACTGCTTTCTGGAGGGACCCGAGGAGTGAACATTTTGTGGGTGAAAGAGTACAGGAGAAGAAGCACAATCCTTTAGTCAGGGAGGGTCGCTAATCTTTTGGGATCGGGATGCGTCAAAGTTGTTATTGTCCATTAATTTTTTTCCTGGGGGGCTATTCCATGCTTACAGATGCCCCAAGCATAATATTGCCAAATTCACCTTCGGATGAGGAATTTGTTGGGAGGTGTGTTGTCAATTTCTGCAGGTTCTGGGACCTGCACTATAATCCTCCATATCCAAAGGCCAGGGCACCCCGTCCTGGATTCCATCTACTTTCCTCAGAGAGGAAGGGGAATTGGAAGGAGACTCCTCTCCTACATTCTGTACTGTGGGCCCGGGTCTTAGTGCAATGATGGTTGTATGATTTACGATTTTTAGTGGTGGTTGTGGTTTAGGGTCCCTAGTAGAGTCTGGGCTATCTATAAGGCTGGGGCTGAGTCTGAGTCAGACAAATGGGGCTGGGGCGCTGAGCCTGGGCGCACCAGCACTGTGGGTATTAGTGCTTATGTCTGGGGGATGGGTCTGGTTTTAGCACC